GCATCATGCTTTTGATGGAAACAGCTGTTTATCAATGGTTACAAAATCTCCTGGTACCTAACATTGTATACAGTTTTGAATAAATGGGTTCCACACTGGTGACATCAGTTCAAATTTATTATTCTGAAGTTTTTCAGATTGAATGGACTTATGATCAAATTGTAAAAATTGTGTAATTTTACAAAATCAATTTTGAAACAGTTTCTGCAAAAAAAGAAGGACCCAAATTTGTAACTACAATCATGTATTCTGAACCAATTATGGTGTGTAGATATATAATTGATGAAAACAAACAAAAATGAATGTTTTTGTTTGTATTCATCAATTATATATCTATACACCGTATATTCGTTGTTTTCGTCATCTCATCTTTTTGTCATCATCTTGTTTCTTTCATCATTGTCGTTTTTAATAATTTTTCCATGTATAATATAAGAGTCCAAATATAAGTTTGAACAAGAGTTCAAACTTATATTTGAACACTTGTTCAAATTTTATTCCAAACAAAGATCCATCGAGGAATTGTTAAAAAACCTGATGAAGGACTTGGAAGGCGTTCAAAAACGTTCGTTTTTGTTTGTTTTCATCATCTACACACCTTAATTGGTTCAGAATCAAGGCCAGATGCAATAGGTGCGAGGCCCGATTGAATTTTTTTGCAGGGCCCTCAAACTTTAAATAACAAAATTAATTAACAGTTAATTTACATATTGAAACATAGATTTTAAATATTTATTTAAAACGAAATCCAAAATCCAATTATAAAAATCAAAAATCATGAACCATAAGGTAGACAAATTTCTATATTAAAAAACCTGTACCAAATATAAATACAACTACATTTTGGACTTCGAACTCACATTTGAGTTATAAATAAACACTTGGCTTTATTTCCATCATTTTTAGTTGAACTAAAACATCATTTTTAGTTGTCAACTAAAAATGATGTTTTTAGTTGACATTTGAGTTATACATTTGGCTTTATAAACATTTGGCTTTATTTCCATCATTTTTAGTTGTCAACTAAAAATGATGGAAATAAAGCCAAATGTTTATTTATAACTCAAATGTGAGTTCGAAGTCAAATATATTCTCAAAACACAGTTTCGAAAACAACATAAACAACTACATTTTATTGAATACTAGCTTACCCGTCGCGCATTGCTGCGATCTCAGAAGAAACGAAATGCAAGCAAACTCGTAATGATAAAATTAAATTTTCATTTTATCATTTTTATTGAAACTTATTATTATTATTATTCATTTTCATTGGGAAAATATTTCAAAGTGTTGTTTCAATTCTATTTATTTATTGGAGTGCTCGTGGATACACGATATTTTTTGTTTTTCCGTCTGGTGCGTACACGAATAAATCGGAAGGTTTTCCAACGCGTGAGCCGGCCACATACACTTGTCCATGTGAGAAGCACGGATTCTCCAAATTTAGCCCACACACTCGCAGCGATTGTCAGAAGTGCGATATTCCTCATTTTTATATATTTTTTAAAATCCTTTATAATTTTCATTATTTAATTGCTCCTTCCTCTCTTCCTTGGCATGTTGTGAAATTTCTGATAGTTGGATAATAAACCGTTTTATTGTAATTTGTCTTTTTAAATTATTTTGAGTCGATATTAAAATTTGGAAAAGGGGGGATACCTAGATTGGTAAAATACGCGAATTTCTTCCTACAACTTCGGTTGTTGTTCGGGGTACAGTTAAGGTTTTAGAAGTTCGAGCGAATACATAATTAGCAATAAAAAAAGTTGAAATAAAGTGATTAAACAAAAATTATTACAAATATCGTAAATAACAAATTCATATATAGAGATATTTTTTGAAAGGGGGAAATGGTCTTCACAATTTGAAATCGATCTAACACACTGTGCGCGAATGCTCGTGTAAACGCGCGCCATCTATCGTAGGATAAATGTACTTCGCGGGAGTGTATTAAAAAATTAAAAAAACTTTCCAAAGTTTTATGGCAATCGTACTATGCCACAAACCTTCGCCAGAGTATATTAAACAACTTCCCAAAGTTTCACGGCAATCGGATAAACGGTGTGGTAATGCATGAAGGACATAGGACACACACACAGACATACATTCATTTTTATATATATAGATAAACATAATTAGATATGTTTTAGTATTTCTACATTTTTAAATGAATATAACTACATAAATTTTTGCCATGAAAAATCTTCTAATATGTTGATGAATGAATATAACTGAATTTTATTGAATATAAACTTATACAGAGATGTTTTATATGTTCAGAAGTTTTTGTTCTGTAAAATCTTCTAAAATAGTATCGGAATCCAACTGGCTTGCTTCTTGACTCAATCGACATGATTGTCACGAACTTTTTAAGAAAAAAATTTGTTGTTATATTTTTAATAATAATATACCTAGATATTTATTTTTGTAACATGTACTATTTTTAAATATATAAATTTTGATGTGCTGTGGGGCCCCTTCAAGCGCGGGGCCCAATTGGTACAAATCATTCCAATTGCCTTAAATCTGGCCCTGTCCAGAATACATGATTAACTACATCCCGGTGTAGTGAGTGGTTGTTTGTGACCAGAAATTATCCATTAGCTCAATAAACTTGAGCATATAATATTACAATAAAAACATCTATTTCATGTAATAACATTTTCCAATTCTCATTTCCAAGTTGACAATGGGCTTCCTCTTCTGAACATTTCTGTATTTGTTTTATGATCCTACCATTTATGAGTAGTCACCAGGTACTGGATATGCTGTCTTATATCTTTTTGCATGTCCAGTAGGATCCGGTGTTTCATGTATAACATTTTTTAGAGAATGTTTACCTGAGATGCAGCCTGGTTTCTTGATTGTCCATTTCATTCCATCTTTGCCAATGTAAGATCTGACATTTGCTAATGTGGTAGATTGTGAAGATGTTGCAGTTATAATAGCTGCATTTTTTCTTTCTTAATCACCTAGTCCTATTGAGTTACAATTGAAACATTTTACTTTATAATAATCAACTAAAAAGAATAAAATACATCTATCTAATGAACAACTTCCTTTTTGAGGTTTTTTTTACTGATACATCATCTTCACTATCAGAGACTTTGCATTCACTGGAATTTGATTCTCTGACAGGAACAAATTTATCATTCAAAATATTACTTGCATATCATCTTTGTTAACATCAGATTGGTTGTCTTCAATATTCTGAAAACATCTCAAAACATCTTTTGCAGATAACAGTTTTTGGGAAGACAGTTTTTTTTCATTCAAATGACTGTGTTCTGTATTGAACTATTTTTGTTAATGACTGTTGTAAAAATATTTAGTGCATGAACACTTCAAAAGTATATTATTACACCTAATATAGTTCCTTTCAGGCAATTAGCATTAAAAATAACTATTTTCTTCCAGGTATTTTAAACAAAATTAAACTGAGGGGTTAAAAATGACCCATACCAATGGTTCTAGGTAAACAAATATGCTTTTCCAAGAAAAATGTTTATCCAGTCTTGATTCTTTTGTGCTAGATAATTTCCAAAATTTTGTGAAAACTCATAAAATTTGAAAATTCTACTTAAGTAATTAAAAATTTTATACGAGATTAAATAGGTGAATGGTGGTTCTAATGTTTAAAAAAAAACTGGTCCTGAGTAAAGTTACAAGGAAAATATATTTTTAGTTTAATATTAACTAATAAAAGACATATATAATATCATATGCTGAGTACTAAATATATGATATAAAATTTTTAAAAAACCAAAAAATTAAAACCAAAACAAACTCCCTCCCAGGTAAATTCATTTTGGTTTTTTAAAAATATCCTATCATATATTTAGTACTCAGCATATGATATTATATATTATATATACTCAGTGTATGATATTATATATATCTATATATGTTAATATTAAACTAAAAATATATATTCTTTGTGACCTTACTCAGGACAAGTTTTTTAAAGAATTGTTGACAGCTGAAGAGGGGTCTAGACCTGAAATGCATATTAAAACAATAATTCAAAGTTATAAATTTCCCAATACTTTTTTAAACACATATCCTTTATGTCACATGTTTGTTGAGTTATGAGATTTAAGAACTATTTGTATAGCTATTAAAATTTATTAAATTTTTAAAATTTATAATTTGACTCTTAGAAGGAAGCCCAATAGAATTTATTGGTAAACCAAAATAAACAAAAAACAAAAATGCAAAATTTTCTTATGACAAAAATTGCTGAATATATTATTGTACAAATTAAGACAGCAAAATCACCAATAATGGCTACCTCTCAATAGTGGTCACCTGTAAATAGTGGCTTTATTTATCAGGAATTTTTTAACAAAAATCTAAACAAATTAGTCTTCAAACAATAGCCATTTTTCATGTTCCCATCAGTGACTGATATTTAGAGGTTTGACTATATTGTAATACAAATATCCATAAAGCATATAATTGACTTTTATCATATGAAAAGGTTTATGCATTTTTAAGATGACTTGACTGATATTTTCAGTACTGGAGTAACCACCAGATTGGGAGTCCCTGAGACCAGGGGCTCCCCTCTCAAAATTGGAAAACAATGAATTTAACATTGCAATTGTATATCATAATTTATAAATAATTCTATAGCTACAATTAAATGTCATTAGTATATGATGTAAAATTATGTACAAGGGTTCTCAATCTTTAGGGTCCTAAGGGTTTCGAAAGGTCTTAACCCACCATTGCAAATATTAATTGAACATATCAGAAACATATATTGGTGTAAGAAGGTATTAAAATAAACTGCCTAAACTTATGTTATTTTAAATTATAGGTTAAATTAGAAATTGTGTAGCATGCTCATGTTAATTTCCAAAGAGTTTTTCTTTAAGAATTGGTTTTTATTTCTTAATTTTATTTTCTGTTTGCATTCTAAGAAATTTTCTTATATTTTAATTAATTAAAATAATTAACTATATTTCCTTAAATTGAAACAAAACTTGAATTTATAGAAAAGAAAAAACAAATGGAAATTAATGAAATAAATAAACTACAACAATTAAAATTAGAAAAAGAGAAGAATGAAGAAGCCTACAAAAACTGGAAAAGAAAGATCTCTTTAAAACCAAAATCTCAGAATTATATAGGATATGGTTATGTTGGGGGAATTTTAATAAGTAAGTACATCTTTTAATTAAATAATATAATAATTTTTTTATGTTTAAATATAAGCTAAATATTGCTAGAGATTTGTGTTATAATTTCATATTTTTGAAATTAAGTATTTCTACAATTTAGGTAAAGAAGTAAGTAATGTTTCTATCCCCTATGTTTAGTTTAATAGCAATTTAATAATTAAATATTAATTAATCAGAAAATTACCTGCATTTGAATTATAATCAGTTCAAAAGACTACATAAGAAACATACATACAGTTCTTATTATTAATTTATTTTATGCAGTTAATTTTTGTTGTATTTTCTATACTTATTTTTATGTTGCTACTTTTGTTATAAAAGAGGGAGGCTACTTTATAGCCATAAAGACATTGTCAATAATAATTTAAAATTAAAATCTAAAATTAATTCAATTTATTTAGAATTTTTCAGTTACAGTGTTTTAGAGTTTGGGTACAAAACTCCATCAGTATGTGATAGAGGATGTCAGAATTTAGTGCATGAATTTCATGTGTAATAGCTGATTTGAAATCCTTGAGTGTATTGGGACCATTTGATAAACTGTCTTTCAGATAGTCCCAGAGGAAATAGTTACATGGATTAAGGTATGGACTGTTTTCATCATGAAAAGACATCTGATGTTCTATGGGGATGAGCTCTATGCTGCATGAACCAATACCAACAAATCATGTTGTGACATTGAGCTTCAGATCAAAGTTTTGTTCCACCAATGCATGTTATTTCTGTTCAGTGACTATTATACAAATATTGTTATAAAAGTTCTACAAATATTGGACCAATGATTTGCTTTGATGAAATGGCACACCACACTGTGATCTTTTATGGATGCAAGGGTGAGATGACATTGAGATGTGGATTTTCCATAACCCAGTGGTGCCAGTTCTGTTTATTGATGTAGTCAATCAGTTGGAAGTGGACTTTGTTGCTAAACCACATCTGGTGTTCACTCATTGATATAGTTTCCACATTATCAATCATTAAATTGGCAAACTCATCACTGCTGTACATTGTTTCTTTCTGAGAGTGACTAGAACAGCTGTATCTTGTATGGATGTAGCCCCACTGCTGTTAATTGTTTCAAGGAAGTTTTCATAGCTTTAACTTTTGTAATGCCTTTCTTGTGGATGTGTATAAGTTGTGCTTCAAAAAATTTATGTACTGTACTTGCTCTTTATTTTCTTTTGACACAACAGTGGATTTTTGGCCCAATGCTTCAGTTGGGCAAAAAATCCACTTTTTGCTTCCCAAACACTTCCAGTGGACTCAAATCTGGCCATCAACCTGGAACAAATGGAAATGATGATTCTTTTGTCAGGTACATGCTTAGTGCAAATTGCTATGCCACTTTAACATATAACAACTTACCATGCAATAACTATGTCACTTGGAGCATTTTTTGTTCAAAGTTTTTGCACCATGCACATTGAACAATGGTATTTGGTTATTTTCATAAAATTTTCTTTCTATAAATAATTGTTCCTCCAGAGTCAGGGATTCCGTCTTCAAATTTATTCAAATGTGAAAACATAACTCATATATACACTTACAAGCACTACACATAAAACCAATATCCAGCAGGAACTAAAAAATTCTACAAAAGCAAATGTTTTCACCTGTGTTAAAAAGTCATTGTCAAGCTAAAAGACCTTTGGAGTTTGAATGCAGCTGTTAAAATAAAACACGTTGAAAAAAAGAATTTCTAAGGATTGATGATTGTCTTCCATGTGCTAAAAGATGATGTAAGAGAGAGAGGGAAGGGAAGAGGAAGACTAAATGTCATAGAGTGACTTCCATGCAGTGGGGAAGGAGGCTACCTCTTTAAGTTGGTAGCCACATTTTTTCTCGTGACTTTGTAAATTTATAACTGTTCTAAATATTTTGGTATTTTTGTTCTATATATTTAAGCCATTTCTTGTGGTAGGTGCAATGTAGGAGGAACACTTGGTTGAAATGCATCTCAATGTCAGGATCACTGGCATAGCTAATGCTGTGGTAGCAAGTTTAATGATGGAAGTTTTATGTTTTTTGAGGTGGGTGTTTAATGGTCACCCTTTGGCACCCACAGAACCAACACGGATCACAGAACCAACTGCAACTTAGAATGCATATTCTAAGTTGCAGTTGGTTCTGTGATCCATAATGGGGGTAGTATATACCCCAGAGTGGAGATGCATATCTGGATGGTCTTTAGTGTTTCAAAAGAGGGTGAAAACTGAGGGACTTCTGAAAATTAAGTGAAAGTTATTATTTCTGGAAATATCCAACATGGCATCTAGTATTCTGCAGTTCAGCTCTTTTACTTCTACCATTACACTATCTAATTTGACTAACTTATTACTTAGAAGGCCTTTATCTATTGTCTCTTAGAATTTTCTCTTTCAAAATGTTCACAGTCTTTGTAAAAGTACCAATCCATAAAGCAGCCCATTGTGTTTTCAAATGATTCATATTACATCTTAAAAATAGTTTATCAATTTATGATATAAATCACTTTGAAAATCAAAATATATGTAGTGTTTTACCTTGTTCTATCCTGCATTAGACACCAATAACAATGTAGAAATGCACAGAGCTAACTGCTCTTGGCAGGTTCTTTTTCTGTATATACATCTTTATTAACCTTTTATGGTGCAAATTACAACCAACATGAATGAACATGAAGAAAACTGCAGCAACCTCTCTCACTTAAAAATACTCAATAATTTTGAGTCATTACAACTATACTATGTTTATTCTTTGTACTAAATGTAGTAAAATTTAATGTATTGTAATATAAAATTGCTTTATTTAGATATATCTATTACTTTAGTTGTATAGAAGTTTATATAGCAAATGTACATGAATTTTCATAAATTTTCAGTTTATAATTCAAAATTTTTGTAGAGAAAAAAATTTAATTGTAAAAGTTTTAAAGTTTATCTGTTTATATACTGTAATCAGCAGATAATTTGGTTTAGGCTGGACTATTAACAATCTTTTCAAAATTAAGTAAGTTTTATTTATTTTATGAAATACAATAATAAAATGAAAGATACTATTAAGCAGATTCTACTATCAGAGTTAGCAAGTTTAAAAATATTTAAATTAAATTACAGTATAAAAATTGAATTCTGATTATAATAAGCATAGTTACCATCATTACCATCATTAATAAGTAAACAGGCATTTTTGTGCTGTCAACCTAAATGTTCCATAATACACAGTCATTAACAATCCTAACCAACACTTGAAAAACATTAAACTACTTTACTGTAAATAAATAAAAAAATGATACTGCAAAAACCAGCACTCAAGCTAATAATTCATCTAGTGTGGCTAGCTTGCTTTTAAAACAATACACACAGGTTTAAAACAACAAATTTTTGTGTCAGTAAAATCAAAATTTCTATTAACTGCAGTCTTATTTACTTACTTGACTATTGCTATCAGTGTAGACTAGTCTCAATGTGATTACAATAAGCAGATTCTACTGTATCATAATTTAGAGAAGATAAAAAGTTAGTGTAATTGAAAGTATATGTTACAGTCTTATTCTAATACTCTTAATGTTCATTATCTTTTCATATTAAATTAAAATACTAATAACCTTTATGATGTACCGTGTTTCCCCGAAAATAAGACATCCGCAGAAAATAAGACCTAGCACAGATTTTGCTGAATTGCGAAATATAAGACCTCCCCCTGAAAGTAAGACCTAGCGAAGTTTTTTTTTAGTCATAACGTTCAGCGACAGATGGTTGAAAGTGGCTGTTGGCTTTTTGAAAGTACAGCCACTGATTGGTCAACAGACAATTACGCCATACGGCATGATTTGCATAAGACTATGGCTTGAGAATCACAGATTTGCATAACGTTACAGCTGGTGATGGCTAATTAGTAGGCTGGGAATTACGCCACATGACATTTGCATAGTGCTACGGTTCAGTAAGCACTAATTGGTCATCGAGTCCGATGTTGACGCTATAAAAAGGCGACAGTTCGACACACCGGATATATGTCACTCTCGTCTAAGTTCGACTTGGGAATTTTTTTGTTCAATAATAAATGTGAATTCTTCTTCCTGGAAAAATAAGACATTCTCTGAAAATAAGACCTAGTACATTTTTCAGAGCAAAAATTAATATAAGACACTGTCTTATTTTCGGGGAAACATGGTATGCAGGGTTCCTACACACCTGAAATGTCAGGAATTTTGTTAAAAATTGTAGAAAAGTCAGGGAATTTGCTTCTTTGGCTGCCTTGTTGATTTTTTGCTGACAATATGCTTGACTAAGTGTAGCTGTCTGCAGGCAGCAAGAAGTAATGTGGTGCAATACAACTTATGAAAAGGGGTGCAGAATATTTTCAGGACTCAAAATTTCTCCCAAGCTTACACAAAATTTTTTCAAAAATTTACAAAGTACAAAAATGATAAATAATTTAAATGGTATTATTTATCATTTTAATAATTTTGATTGCGTAACAAAACAATTTCTGATTTTTTTTTTCTAGTTTATTAATATTTTATAAAGGGCAGGAAATTTATTAAGAGATAAAATTTTGTACATGGATCATATAGAATTTGTTAATGAATAATAAAAATTAATTGAGTTTTTTTCAAAGCCATGTAGATTTATGGTTGTGGATTAATAACAGAATTTTAATAATACATTTTATTTTTAATTTTAATAATTCAGCAACTATAAAAAAATTATATAACTATTAGTTAGAAAAAAATAACTAATTAAAACGTTGGAGAAGCAATGCATATGTGCATAATAAGTCAAATACTGTTTTATTTTGTCAGTGTGCCATACTGTAAAAGACATGAGGGTTAGTGAATTTGTACAAAGTTGGTTCAGGGGAAGTCTTTCCTGACTTCCTCTGAGTCAACTTTTCCTAGTCATGGAAATTAAAACAAAAATTTGAGTAGGAACCCTGTGTATAGTGTCTTTTTCTTGCGTTGACCCCATAACAAAAATTTTGAGGAGGTTGATTGAAAAGAATATTTTTTTTATTTCCTAAGATTTTATGTAATATATCAAATGAATTATTAAATCAGTTAATGAATTTTCCATGTGGTTGTGGTTATAATTTTCAAAAAATTACAATAAGTATCTGATTTTCCTTTTGACACTTTTCAAAATTCTATTGACTTTGTTGGGAACCCTTGATGTAAGACAATACATAACTTAGCAATTGTATATTGTAATTAATGTGAAAAGAAAATTAACTCAAAACTTTATTTATTTGTTTATTTATTTTTATATTTGTAACAGCTGAATCACATTATCGTACATTTAAATATCACAACAGTAAAAATGTTTATGTAGTTTTAAACTGTTTTATAAATTTACATCTCAGAATTTCAAGCATAGCTGAAATTTATATATTATTGCTTTTTACTATACATAGAAACAATTATCAGATATTTTAAGTAAAGAGAATTAAAGAAACAACAGAAAAATAAATTAATTGTTTCAAAAATAAAGACACATTCATCTTTTGTAATCATTTGGTATAAGCTCAGTTTTGGTTTGTCTTTCAAAAGTTTTAACTAACTACTGTTCTTCTCCACTTTTATAGGAATCCCACAAGTCTTGAACAGTGAGTTGTCCACCATTTTCTAAATAATACTTTGGTGTCATTCCCATCTGTTAAAAATATTTAAATATTATAGTTAATAAGTTAATGAAATTTTAATTAATTATGTTTATAATAATCACTTTATCTTTGATGTTTTCGTCGGCTCCCTGAGCTTTTATGATTTTATATAAATATCCTTCATCTGGTATGACTGCTGCATAATGAAGAGGAGTACGTCCTTCCTAAAAAAAATTAATTTTAAATATTAAGATAACATGTTATAAGTTAAATGTTAATTTATTTATGTAATCATTTTAAGAATTTCTATTAAAAAATAATAATTTTTTGGCAATAATAGTAAAATCACAACAAATTGTTGATAATTATGTATTTAAGAAAAAGTTTTTGAAGCCAAACAATGCTAAAACTCAATGAAGATATATTTGTAGCTCCTCAAATAAGAAAATTAATAACTAATGAATAATTTGAGAAGTGGAAACTTGCGTATAGCAATTTTCAAAAAATCATAAGGTAGGAAACAATTGTGAAACTGCACAACCTTCTGAAATCATACAAAAAGTTAGACAGTAATAAGTGTTTAAAATACATTTTTACTCATTTAGTCTTTTTTGAGAATCTTGATGCCATCAAACATGGCAAACAATTTTGTTAGACCATTTCTCTTATGGAAAAATGATACTAGGTCAAGTAGAATCCAAATATATTTGCAGATTACTAGTACTTAAGAGAAAATTAACTACAGTTACATTTTAAGTAATTTAAACTCTATGTATTAGTATATCACTTAAAACATTACATAATACAGAAAAAATAAGAACATAACAGTATTTTTTATGTTGAATTCAAATAAGTTCACTCAGTATCATACATGTGACAGAAATATTTGGAACTCATGAAAGTGATGTCTGTGGGGAAAAATAAATTGCAGGATAAATTTGATCCTAAGTTTTGAAACTATAAACAGAATGTTAATGGTGTAATCAGTGAAAGTGCAATTGTAAAACAGTAAAGTATGATCAATAAATTATATTGTGTTCACCAACTGCTTCTGCATACTGGATTATTTAATTGATTCACCAAAATCTTATTTTAATACCAGCAAGAGTTTAATCGTTCATGTGGTTGTTGACAAATGTTTTTGACTTAATTATACATCTTAAACTTTTCATTCTATTTTGGAATTTGAAGAAGAGTGATATAAAATTTCAAACTTTCCTGGATATTGGTGTTGGTATTTTATTTGAATATTAATCCAGTTCTCATCAATTGACTTTATATATATACAGTTGAACCTTTCTATCTCAAATCTTATGGGAACAAGAAAAAAATTTGAGATAAGGAATTGACTCTGCTATTGTCATTGCAAACAGAAGTAAAACTTTCAACAACTTATTAGCTAAACACACAATTTTAAGAGGCCTGTTTTTTGAAAATATCTGAGAAGTGAGTCCTATTATTTGGACAAGGAGTTGTTTGTGTTTAGGGCTATGCACTTACCAAGTTTTGTTCAAATTGAAGAAGGAACATCTGGCCTTCTCCTTGTTAGTGAAGGTCTTTTTAATTTTCAGTATAATATATTTGATCTTAAAAATGTTTTATTTAAATTTGCATAATACTTGCTTACATTATCAGGACCATCCATTGTTTCTGGGAAATGTGATATAATATACTGTACAATATCTGCATGTCTGTGTAAAACTGCAAGATGTAACGGACTAGCACCGACATGATCTCTACTTAAGGCGAATCTTTTTCTTGTCAGGACAGCTCTTACTTCTCGAAGATTTCCTCGTATGACAGCTTCATGTATTGCACGAATTTTAGCCTAAAAATATATTGATTTGACACTATAACTAAACAGATTTATGTTAAATTTAAATGTATAAAATATCAAAGAATTAGAATTAAGAATTTTAAAAATTCATATCTAATTACATGTAGAAACAATAATAGTAATACATTAAATTTCTATTTCTTAATTTTGTATTTGGAATTATTTTATAACATCATATGAAAGATGGAAAATCTGTATTCTGCATGCAGTAGATTGGAATAAATGCATTTTTTGGAAGTTTTCCTAAAGCACATTATAATCTTTTAAGGCTTGATTTGATAAGTGGATGAAAAAAATTATTAAACTGTTAGTATTATTAAGAAAATAACTGCTAGAAGAAGTGTTATAGTGCTAGGTGATTATTTCAGCTTCTGGGATGTTTTGAAAAAAGTTATTTTCAATATGATGTCAAACAAAGAAAATTGGGATGGTGATAAAATGTTTTCCAGAGCACCACATTTGATTTTAACTCCAAGACAGATGTCGTGGAGTTAAAATCAAATGTGATATTGATGATAATCTTTGATATCAACAGATAATTCATAAGGAATTTGTTTTTATTAGTAAATTGTATTTTATTACACTAGACTCTGCTTATTATAATCACAGATAATGTTATCAAAATTAGCAGATCCCAAAACGTACGAGTTATTAACATTATAAAAATTTTGGTTATTGTTATCTTTGCCTTTTAAAACTCTCTTTTTGTGATAGTTTGCCTCAATTGTGACTGATAACATGTAATCTTTATTAGCTATTGTTATCAGACTTAACTAATGTTTGAAATGTTAAATGTTAATTGTTTACTCACAACACAATAGTTTAACAACAACTTGTATAATGCCAGCAATTTAAAGTTGATAGCAGAGAAATTAACTGATGTGTATTTTGAACTATGGTTTATCCTTCTGCTTCTATTCTGTTTTTTTTAAATTTTAATATGTAACTGTTTCAAATGCTGTTATTTTCTAGAAATTATCACATCCACAGATTTAAAAAATACTGGCCAATCAAAACTTTATTTTACCCAGATACATTTTGGAAATTACAATATTTTCCTCAGTGGGTTTTTTTTTCTTGTGTCTTGTTTAGCCTGTATGAAAGAAGTTCCACTGAAGAGAGAAATATTGTAGTTTCCAAAATGCATCTGGGTAAAATAAAGTTGTTGATTGGCTAGTATTTTTGGAGTCTGTGGATGTGATAATTCTTAGAAAATAACGGTGTTTGAATTGGTTACATATTGAAATTTTAAAATGTGTTTTATGTTAATAATTTTTAAATAACTTGAACTTGTAATGAATATATGATTTGTAAATAAGCACTATGCATAGAATCTATATCCAACAAAAAAAAATACAAAACTACATGAAAGCAAACATTTTCATCCATGTTGAACTGACATTGTCAGACTAACTGACCTTCATAGTTTGAATGCAGCTGTTAAAACAAACTGTTCAAAGAGAAAAGTCACTCAGAATAGGTGATTACTGTTCACATGCTGAATGAGAAAGCACAACTTAGAATATGTGGGTGCTATAGGACAACCTTTAAATACTTGTCTCAAAGAACATCAGACTTCCATTATGAAAGGACTTGTCAACACAGCATTAGCAACCTTGTCACCAACCCCAACATTGATGTATATTTCGGCCAAGCAGTCCTCCCATAAAGAATGCCTTAGATATTTAGATCAATTAGAAATTTACAAAGCCATGAGAAAAAAAATGCAGCTATCAACTTTTAGACATGTAGACTTTTATTCTAAAAGTCATTTTTTGTGGGAGGTGCTATGTAGGAGGCCTGTTTGGTCGAAATGCACATCAATGTTGGGGTCAATGTCAAAGGTTGCTAATGCTATGTTGGCAAGTATACAAAACTGCTACATACAACAGAAGACTGGCTATCCTGTACAAGGATATTGCCAGAAATAATAACTTCCAATTAGCTTTCAGAAGTCCTTCAGTTTTCACCCTCCTGTGCAGTGCTAAATACCATCCAGATATGTGCCTCCAACCTGGTGTATTTACTATCCCTGTTATGGATTACTTAGAATACTTGAGTGCTACAGGGCAACCTTTAAATATCCATCTCAAAGAACATTGGACTTTAATCATGAAAGAGCTTGCCAACACAGCATTAGCAACCTTTGACACCAACTCCAACATTGATGTACATTTCGACCAAGCAAGCTTCCTATACAGCACCTCCTGCAAAGAATGGCTTAGATGTTTAGAACAATTAGCCACATTTTTTCTCGTGGCTTTGTAATTTCTATCAACTTTAAAGATAGATCAACTTCCATCCAAGGGGAAGGAGTCTATATGAAGTTTACTCTTACAACCTTCTCCTCCCCTTTCTCTTACATCACCCCTCTTAGCAACTTTTCTGTTCAAATTGTTTGTTTTAACAATTCCATTCAAACTGAAGGTCAGTTAGCCTGATGATGTATAATGATGGCGGAGAAGATTGAAATATATAGGAGTAGGCTACGTGAGGGATGTTTAAATGTGAGGGATGCTGAGAGCCTGTCATCGGCGTGGAAATACATGATTAAAAAGTTCACTGAAAACTCAAGCTAGAATTAGTTTATTGGAAGATTTATTATATTTATTATATATTTTTTATTTTTTAGTTTATTTTGTGTTATTTTTATATTTTCTTCCGTTTCTTTTGTATATTTTTAAAAATTTTTGTTCTAAATTTTGATTTAAATATTTATATTCTATACATGGAACGTATTTGTTCCATTTTCGTTTTTTTAGACCTGAGGATGGCCTGTTAATCAGGTTGAAAACGTTTGTGTTTAAAATNCTTGTATATTTAAAAAAATTTTTGTTCTAAATTTTGATTTAAATATTTATATTCTATACATGGAACGTATCTGTTCCATTTTCGTTTTTTTTAGACCTGAGGATGGCCTGTTAATCAGGTTGAAAACGTTTGTTTTTAAAATATATTTCTCAGCAACAAATTAAGGTGTTTTAATTTATGTGTTTACTTGCTGAGCACTTTTAATGTTAGCCTGATGATGACAGTTCAACATGGACAAAAAATTTGCTTTAATGTAATTTTGTATTTTCTTGCTGAATAGTGGTTCTATGTGTAATTGTTATTTATGTATACCCAGTTTGAGTAGTTGAAAGAACAAGTAGTTGTTTTAATATGTACTTTTAATAACTAAAATTATCATTATCAGACTTTGATGATGATAATTGTCACCCAAAGTTTTGATGTTAAGGAAAGTACTTTTGGGAAGAATATATATGTTTGAGTGAGTTGATATTATATTTTCTTGTAACAGAATACAGCTTAAACCTCATGCCAAATATCACATAAAAAGAAAGTAAAAAAACACTGAGTGTAGTATTAACAATTAATACCACATTCAGTGTGGTATTAACTTTAAAGTCAATTAATGTTTTTACTTTCTTTTTATATTTTCTTAGTTTAAGAACTTAACATGGAAAGACAGTTTTAAAATACACATCCAATAACAATTTGATGTATGTCATTATTTTTTACTGAATTATATATTAATTAATTAGTCTTAAAATTATACATTGTTTTTTTTAATTGTTTTAACATATCCTTTTAATGTTAGTGAAAATTCTGCTTTCATTGACTCTAACTGTAGTCATATTTACTTGCTCTACTTATTGTTATTGGATTAGGAAAGTCTGAAAGTAATAAACAGTCTATTGTATTAAATAATAGAATGGATCTACAGGATATCTGAAAAGTTCCTTTGCAGTGGAAAAGGTTTAAGTGAAGTTTTATGTACAAAATATTGCTTTTCTCCTAAAGCAAATGCTGGAAAAATCAGGGCCAGATTCTACATAAGATTTTACAATTAGCAAAGAAGTCGTCAAAAACTGTAGTCCACAAACCAGAATGTCTATGAGCAAACAATAATGCTATCTACTGCAAAGTGGAAATGTGGGATCTAGTACAACTTACAGGTCTCATAAGCATAACTTTACTGTCATTATAAATTTCTCATTGCACAATAACTTTTCAGAAATCTTACATAGCAACTAATAAGATATAAATACCAAGCATAAAAGACATGTTCTGACAATTTCTATAGTTTAAAATCTAATAAACTATGCAAAGGAATGAAATTATATTACACATCATTTTTTGTGAAATGTATTTCAGAATATCTCATTGATGTGTTAGAACTGTAGGTGAATGCAAACAAATATGGCAGGAACTGAATTATTCAATATCTAACACAGGGTAATACACATCAACCTGTGTTAATTTTCTATTGGCTATTAATATAAACTTATCATAATGACCACAAATGACTTTAAGGTGACTGTTTTTTTTTATTGACTCCAATTTGCATTTCGAACATATAAATTTGTATCTCTTTAATTGAGTACAATATTATATAGTATTAAGTTAACAGCTAAAAATTCCACATCCTTTTTTAAAACAGATTTACAAAGCTATTTTATAAAACAGATAAAATAATCTGTTTTATAAAAAAAAAAGGATGTGGAATTTTTAGCTTAATAATTTATATAATATTGTACCCAACTGAAGAGGGATGAATTTATATGTCCGAAATGCATATTGGAGTCAATAAAAAAAACAGTCACCTTAAAGTCATTTGTGGTCATTATGATAAGTTTGGGTTTAAGGCATATTAATAGCCAATAGAAAATTACATAGTCATCCAAACAAGAAACAAATTATACAACAACTTGTGTCCATCTTTGTATTACAAAGGTAGATATATTTCATATGAACAAGAGACCTAACAGAATGGAGCATTTTCACCTTGAACTGTGATGCAGTACCACAGCATGGAAGGCTTGTCATCAAGATTTTTTCTAGCTATCATTCAAAGTAATTGTGTTTGTCCTTAAGTTTTGGACACACTATGTATTAAACTAACAGATATAACCAATTTGTTTAGATATTTTTTCTTAAGATAATGAGTTAATGAGGATTTTTCACAGTAAAAATAGACAAAACTTTAACCCATGGGAAGTAAACATCCTAAAATTCTTAAATCGTACATAAAATTATGTAAAAGGTACATTAATTAATTAATTAAACACTATTGTTAAAAATAATACATCAGACAAAATAGCTATTAGAATTTAAAATATAAAACATTAAATTTTATAAAACAGCTTACTGTATAAATGGGTACTAAATCTAAAAAATCTTGAACTTGTTTATCATCTGAAGTTTTTTCAATTAACCTATCTCCCTGACCTGCTAAGACAACATGCTCTAATCGTAACAAATCACCTTCTTTAATCCACTGTTCTATTAAATCATCCAGATAATCTTCTGTAAAATAATTTAAATAGTATAATATAATTACTTACAAATACAATTTATTATATCATTTAATATAAACTTACTCTGAGAAGAGTTTCTACTTCCTGTATTTCTGTTCTTTATTCCCGAATTGGTTTTAATTCTACTAGAAGAAGAATTTTTATTTTCATATGAATAGTTTGTATTTGCTGTTTGGCTATTGTTTTGATTACTTTCGACATCCACATGATTCCTACTTTCCACTTTAGATTTTAAATTTTCCACTGATGCTTTGACATTTGAATTTGAATTATTAATAATTTCTTCTTTATCATTTTTAAACTCTTCATTTGATTCCAAATTTAATGATTCATTTATAGTATTTGACTTGTCATTTTCTTCAACTGGTACAGTTTCCAAATTTATATTTGTCAGTTCATTATTTGTGTTGTTGATGTCAAGTTTTTCTTCACTGTCATTTTGGTCACCAGCTTCATCATTGCTCACTTGTTTTGTTAAAACAGCATTATTGGAGTTATCAATTTTTATATCATCATTTTCTGAAGAATTTGTCTGTTTTTCATTTTCTATTATACTGTCATCATTATTCATTTTTATAGATTCTTGATCATTGATGCTATTTTTATCATTTTCTTTTAAATCATTTATTTCTGCATTTGTTTCTTGCTTTTCGACATTTCCTGTATTGGGTTGTATTTCTTTAGATTTATCACCTTCTTGTTCAATGTTTTCTGAAAAATCTTCTGTTTGATCATTTTCATTGTTGTTTTCTTCAGATTTTGTAACTTCTGGATTTACATTATTTTCTGTTTTATCATCATCTATTTCTTCTCTTTCCTTATCTATTTCATTTGTACAGTTTTCATGATTTTCTGTATTATTTTTATCATCTGGTTTGGATTCAATTTGTTTATTAACATTTGAATTTTCTACAGTGTTTTGTTCAGTACTTTCTATATTTTCAGGAATATTATTATTATCTTCAGTTCTGTTTACTGAATCAGCAGTCTCCTCTGCTGAATTTAATGTAACAGTTTCATTTATTTTACTGTTGGTACCAAGATCATCACTTCTGGTAATTTCTAATTCTTCTTTTTTATTTTCAGTATTTGTATTTTCTGCATGTATAAATTTTGATTCTTCCTGATCAGATTCAGTTTTTTTTTCTGGATTATTTGTCGAGTTCATTTCATCTTCAGAAATTTCATTTTTTTCATCCTTCTGTGGAGTACGTTCTTCATTTTTTTCATTGTGTAGAATGTTCTCTTTTTCATCTTCCTGCGGATTGCTCTCTTCATTTTTTACATCTTCCTGTGGAATGCTGTCTTCATTTTTTACATCTTCCTGTGGAGTGTTCTCTTCTTCATTTTTTTCATTTTCCTGTGTATTGCTCTCTTCTTCATCTTTTCCATCTTCCTGTGGATTGCTCACTTCTTCATCTTTTCCATCTTCCCGTGGATTGCTCTTCTTCATTTTTTTCATTTTCCTGTGTATTGCTCTCTTCTTCATCTTTTCGTGGATTGCTCACTTCTTCATCTTTTCCATCTTCCCGTGGATTGCTCTCTTCTTCATCTTTTCCATCTTCCTGTGGATTGCTTTCTTCTTCATTTTTTTCATCCTGTTTTTCTATACCTGCATTTTCTTGATTGTTATGAGAATTTGGCACTTCTTCAGGAATTGAATTTGTATTTTGATTTTCATCTTGCTGAAGTTTTGGTTCTGAACAATCTGTAGTTACTACATTTTCTGATTTTTTATCATCAGTAGCTACTTTATCTGAGTTATTTATCTTTTCTTCTGGTTCAATATTTAAAATGTTTTTCTCTTTCTTCTGATTATCTTCAATGTTTTTATTGTCTTGTTCTGTAATCTGCAAATTGTTTTCTTCTACTGAAGTTTCATTTGTTTCGTTTTCATTAACTGATTCTGTTTTAGTTTCTTCAATGGTTTTTGGTTTTGGCATTTCTTTTGAGTCTGAATTATTTTCCTTCTCTGTAGCATCATTTTGTCCCGAAGTAGAAATATCAGTATTACTAACTAATACTGTCTCTTCTGACAAATTATTTTCTTTTGCATCATTTGTATTTATTTCAGTTGTAGATTCTTCATTAGTTACCAATTTATTGTTCTCTGATAATATTGGTGTTCGAGGAGATTTCTCATCTTCCTTCTCACTTAAATAATATTCAGCACTTCTTCCTTTCTATAAAATAAATATGCAAAATTTTAATTTAAGAAATCTAAGTGAACTGTTAACTCAAATAAATAAATAAGCAAAATCCAGAAAAGCTGAATTTTGTTTTGGTTTACTTATTAAAGAGAATTATTTTTATTTTCTTTATTCTTATTATTTTTAGAATATTCCTTATATATTTATAAATTTTGCAAAAATATTTTAAATATTGAATTTATTAATGATCAAATTAATTGAAAATTTAAATTGTCCCCCCCCAATTAAAGATACAAAGTTTAGGTCATATGAACCTACAGAATATGCACCGTAATATTCCATTAAAGTTGGCAAAATATGCTTTTTAATATTCCCATTCAAATACAATAGAAACATGTAAAGGAATTAAAACACTGCACTATATAATGTATGTACATTTATTTGATATCTGTTCATTACATTATATGTAATTACTCTACTATGTAGATCCACAGTAATTTCAATTAAAGCAACAGATACAGTTTTACAGTTTATATTGAGAATTGTTGACAGTTTTTTTCTCATCACTGGCTTGTATCACCACCAGCTCAAAAAAAATGGTATAAATAAACCAAAAATCATAAAACCTCCCAAGACAAAGGCTGAACTTTACACTAACTTACAATTCTAATGTTACCAACCCAAAATTTAAATTTATTGCTAAACATTAAAAAATAGTTAAATCATAAATTGAAAATGTTTCAATTATAATTCTTTGATTTTATAATTATATTGATAATTTTGCATTAATTTTATGTATTTAAGCATTAAAACTGGCTTGTAGAAGTTTTATTTATTATTCACCAATTGATTTAAAATTTGGCTTCAAATTTTTGATCCATTTATTGTTGATAAATGCAGTCAGGTTATTTTGATGTAAAAAGATGTCAAATAGTTCATAATTAATTTATAATAAATGTAAATAAATTATATATATAAATTACTGATTGAAATTTTAATTAGTTTAGATGTATTGTTAAGACTTGGCTGCATCAGGCATGATAGAAATAGATTGTAATTGATTGCTGATGAACTATTATGCTATTGACATGTGAAATAAAAAAATATGCAAAAAATGTAAGAAAATAATAAAATATGCTTATTAGCCTAAAATTAGTTAAGTATGCTTTTATATCAACTAAAACAGGACTTGGACCAAAACTTTACTTTTTTAAACTACTTTCAACAAGGGAAACTTGGGAAAAATATGCTTTTACCTAAAGTTCCACTCCATAGTTTTATCTCTTGATCTTGCAAGTAATAATGCATAAATTAAACATTTAAATTAGTTATTCTTAAAAAGAAATTATTTAGCAAGATTTGAGTAAATACATAACCGAACATCTGAGATTAAAAAAATTGTGCTAAGTAAAAAATTATAATAATTTAACAGTAATACAATACTATGAATACTATGTGGTTTACATGAAAATGATTCATTAAGCAAGTCTCAAACAAATCCTGTGTGTCATTGAAATGTAAAAAAAAAAAAAATTGTGCTAAGTAAAAACTTATGACAATTTAGATGACACTCAAAATTTTTCTTGGGAGTTTTTATTTGNTAAATACATAACCGAACATCTGAGATTAAAAAAATTGTGCTAAGTAAAAAATTATAATAATTTAAATGACATAAAATTTTTTTCTTAGAAGTTTTTGTTTGGTAAAGCTTGGCATAATTTAAATGACGTAAAATTTTTTTCTTAGAAGTTTTTGTTTGGTAAAGCTTGGCACTTCAAAGTTACATCTCAGATGCTTTTGTTTGGATATCAATTGTTTTTTGGTTAATGATTGCATTATAATGTCAAGTCCTAAGATGATGATGTACAGTTGGTCTGGTTGAATGTTTTCAATACACTGTTTAGTAAAATAGTTATAAAAAGTTTTAATTGGCATAAATTTGAGCTTTTGTTATTCTGGATAACATTTTGAATAAAAATCATTTGTTCCCATGCAATGTTATCCTTATAAGCATAAAATTAAGCAATAAAAGTAAAACAGCTTTATGGGGTTACCCCTGTGAACTTTGATCTATTGACTGGGAAGGTTCGGGAACACCTCAGTGATAATGAGAGAGGTTTTGGTTTAAAAGATGAGCTTTCTACACCCAGTAGTATTTTCTAAAGAAAGAAGAAAAAACCCCACTTATTTGGCAATTTTTTCACTTTTCAATTGCTTGTATTTTAGCAACCCTTTTATGGAAAAACCTGAAATTTTGCACACTACCTAAGAAAACTATTATCTTTTGAAAGAGTTTATCAGAATTACTATATACTAGGGCAGAGAAATTAACCCAAAAAATTGGCAACACTAATTCTTGTATCTATCAGTCAGTTACTTTTTTACTTGGCACAGTCATTGCCATGACTTTCGATTGAATGTTATATATAAACTCTAAATTTGAAATTTAAAAGACATTTGGAAGAATAATATAATTAATATAGATTACACAGCTCACACAGAAGTAATTACCATAATTTCCTGTAAATAACCCACATCTTTTCTGTGGTTTTCTTAAAGTCAGTTTTAAAAGCAGGTAACAGCTAAGCTAACCCACAGCAAGGCTGTGGGTTAGCTTAGCTGTTGATTTTTGTTGGGATTGTATATGGTAATGTGTTGCTTGATGAATTCAGAAAATTTGAAACATTGTTATTACACTTTAAATTCAAAATTTTGTTTAAAATCATTGGTTGTATACATAGTTCAAAAAAGAAGCAGGAAGCACATGAAGATACATTAGAGTGTCGATTATCTGAATGTCAGTCAACTGAAACATCGGTTAACCGAAAGCGTTCCAGTCAGACTGTGTCATGCCGAATTGAATATTTTTGATACTAGATTAACTTCTAAAGCGTAATTTTTTTGTTTTTATATTTTTCAATATATTTATTTTGTTTGTACAAAATAAAGAAATAATTTTTGACAATACAATAACCACGATTATTATTATAAAAATTTTCGTTAGGCTTAATATCGACGAAAATTCAATGCGAAGTGACACGCAACGGAGAAAAATTTAAACATGGGATATATTAATATACCATAATTGGGATATACTAATATACTATATTAATAATGTATTTTTTCGTACATAATTGGTTATCCAAAAAATTGATTTTCCGAACAACCCCAGTCCCCAATTGATTTGGATAATCGAAGCTCTACTGTAATTGAAGTGGAGTTGGGATCCATCTTTTAAAGAGGAAAGACATGTTTTCATCTCTAAGGAAATTTGAACATTGAAGTCAAGAACAAACTAAGGACTAGGGGATACCACTTCCAATGTCCTACTCAAAAGAAACTTATTCTAAATGAAAAGCAAAATTGTTGATTTTGTCTTTAATTAAAATTTATATTTGTATAAATTTATTGTTGTTAATTAATTCAATGAATCTGTGGGAGCTACAATTTGTCAGGAGTAAGAAGATATATACTAAGAAGAGATAGTTCCAATCTTTGTTTTAAATTGCAATTATGCTCTCCCAACAGTTTTTCTTTCATCTAAGCTTACTAACAGATCTTTAAAAACTAATCTTTAAAAATTATGAAAAATCCTTTATACATTACATAATTCATCTGTTGTCAATTCTAACATATGTACTGTACAGTACTGTACATTTTCTATAGCAAATAAGAGGGGAATGATCAACTCTCAGATTTGTGTCATTAAATATCATAGAGTTTACATGCAGCTTTCTTAGTAAAATCAACAATTACTTTATTTACTACAATTGTTTATTTATACTCTATATCTGTTGTGGCAATCATTCCTGCCAGGAGCCACATTACCAACCCAAATTTGTCTCAACCTCAGTTAGCTTTTCAAACATCAAATATGTTACAGATATTGTCCATGATAAAATCTTATTTTGTTTAATTTTTTTGAGTTTACTTAAATGTTTGTAGTTTGTCCAATAAAAGGTGAACTTTTCATGATCATATCTGATGAGTAGCAAGTCTTGTTGAGGAGACATGTTTAATAATTGTAATGCTTGTAGGCTATAAACTCTTGCTTTTTTCATCACTATAATGTGAAATTTGACCGTATAATGTTTCATTTTCTCTACACACAATAGCATTTTGATAATGAAATTGACTCTAAAAATGTTACTATTTTTTTTTAAATTCTACACTGTAAAAATCATTTTACATTAATTAAAGTAACAATCATATATAATGTTAAATGTTTCTAAACAGTAACTGGATGAAGTGGAATTTCATTATCCTATTGGGAGTTTCATTATCCAAGATAATGCCTTTTAACCTGTGTATGAGTTAATTAAATTGCCTCAATGTCCTTTTTTCCTTATTAATATGTAAATTTTCGACTATAAATTCGACTATCTTCTATTATCAGAACTTATTATACTGGTTTTACACATAATATTACAAAGATTAATAGAAAACAATTTTTATTTTATTTCGTATACCTGCCAGGTATACGAAATAAAATAAAAATTGTTTTCTATTAATCTTTGTAATATTATGTGTAAAACCAGTATAATAAGTTCTGATAATAGAAGATAGTCGAATTTATAGTCGAAAATTTACATATTAATAAGGAAAAAAGGACATTGAGGCAATTTAATTAACTCATACACAGGTTAAAAGGCATTATCTTGGATAATGAAACTCCCAATAGGATAATGAAATTCCACTTCATCCAGTTACTGTTTAGAAACATTTAACATTATATATGATTGTTACTTTAATTAATGTAAAATGATTTTTACAGTGTAGAATTTAAAAATCAAAATAGTAACATTTTTAGAGTCAATTTCATTATCAAAATGCTATTGTGTGTAGAGAAAATGAAACATTATACGGTCAAATTTCACATTATAGTGATGAAAAAAGCAAGAGTTTATAGCCTACAAGCATTACAATTATTAAACATGTCTCCTCAACAAGACTTGCTACTCATCAGATATGATCATGAAAAGTTCACCTTTTATTGGACAAACTACAAACATTTAAGTAAACTCAAAAAAATTAAACAAAATAAGATTTTATCATGGACAATATCTGTAACATATTTGATGTTTGAAAAGCTAACTGAGGTTGAGACAAATTTGGGTTGGTAATGTGGCTCCTGGCAGGAATGATTGCCACAACAGATATAGAGTATAAATAAACAATTGTAGTAAATAAAGTAATTGTTGATTTTACTAAGAAAGCTGCATGTAAACTCTATGATATTTAATGACACAAATCTGAGAGTTGATCATTCCCCTCTTATTTGCTATAGAAAATGTACAGTACTGTACAGTACATATGTTAGAATTGACAACAGATGAATTATGTAATGTATAAAGGATTTTTCATAATTTTTAAAGATTAGTTTTTAAAGATCTGTTAGTAAGCTTAGATGAAAGAAAAACTGTTGGGAGAGCATAATTGCAATTTAAAACAAAGATTGGAACTATCTCTTCTTAGTATATATCTTCTTACTCCTGACAAATTGTAGCTCCCACAGATTCATTGAATTAATTAACAACAATAAATTTATACAAATATAAATTTTAATTAAAGACANAAGAATTTCATTAAATAATTTTGTCGGAAATTTTTAAAATGTAAATTTTAATAAAAATTTTATTGTTTTATAGAACATATTTAAATACCTGCTGAGGAGGGACGAATATGTCCGAAACGCAAAATTGTGTATGTGTCCAGGTATACGAAATAAAATAAAAATTGTTTTCTGTTAATCTTTGTAATATTATCTGTAAAACCAGTATAATAAGTCCTGATAATAGAAGATAGTCGAATTTATAGTCGAAAATTTACATGTGTATGAGTTAATTGATTTATTTTTAACCTCAGCCTCAGAGGCTTAGGATATATGGTAACATAGTCTATGTGACATTTTTATTTTTGTATTAATTTTCTATAGAGATTATACACTGCTGCATATAACCATATGCTGCAGGTTATATGCAGCAGTGTACAACCTGAAACATATGGTATTTAGTTTAATTATGGTAATTTTAACTAAAGTTTGCTTTTAATAATTATTAACAACAACAAAATTTAAAATATTTTTATCATTCAAAAATGTTAGTGAATAAGGGCTTTATTGTTAAATAGTATAAATATATAAATAATATATATTTATATTTAATAAACTATTTTTTAA